CCAACTCTTCCTCTTTTAGAACTCGTATCCTAAAAAATGAAAAAAAAATTAAAAAAAATAAAAATTAAACAAGGAGAAAAACAAAATTAAACAGATAAAGACTAAAATAAATAAGGATTTAAATGAAACTTAAAAAGAAGAGATTAAAAAACTGAATAAATAAAAATAAAAATATCAAAGGATAGCATATTCATGCGCCTCTAAGGGTAACCACTTTCTTGTCGCACTTAACATGGTTGCCGATGTAGTGCTTTAATCATTGTCTATTAACTTTGAATTCATATCTGTCGGTGGTGGACTTGATTATGACTGAACCATGGAGAAAGGCTTTACTACCTCGAATGGTCCGGACCATATTGATTTCAGTTTTCTAGGGAAGAGTTTTAATCGAGAATTAAAAAGAAGTACTAATTGCTCGGGAAAAAATTACTGTGGAAAAATCTTCTTATCATGCCAACGCTTCGTTCTATCTTTGTAGATCCTAGTATTGTCATAAGCTTAGTCATATAATTTAGCTATCTCAATGAGATCCAATAAATGCTTTTACCATGCTCTCTTAATCCATGTTCATAGTTTTGATGACCCAGATGCCTTGTGCTCGATCTCCACCGATAGGTGGCAAGCCTTGCCATAGATAAGTCCATATGGAGACATGCCCAGGGGTGTCTCGACTATTGTGCGATAAGCCCAAAGTGCTTCATCAATTCTTAGAGACCAATTCTTTCGATATGGGTTGACAATTTTCTCAAGGATAATATTCAATTCTCGGTTGGATATTTCAGCCTACCTATTTGTCTATGGGTAATATGCCATGACAATTTTGTGTGTCACTCCAAAGCATTGTAACATCTTGGAAATCAATTTGTTGTAAAAAATGCTTGCCTTCATCACTGATGATCACCCTCGGCATTTCGAACAATGTGAATATATTTTTCTACAAGAATCTCTGCACAGTCTTGGAGTTATTTCTGGGAACTACAGCTCCCTCATCTCATTTAGACACGTAGTCAACAGTGAGTAATATGTATAAATTTCCGAATGAGAATGGGAAGGGTCCCATGAAATCGATACCCCATACATCAAACAACTCAACTTCAAGGATATTCTACAGTTGCATCTCATGCCCTCTTGAAATATTGCCTGTTCGTTGACAACGATCCCACTGCTTGTAGAATTCTTGGGCATCTTTATAAAGAGTGAGACAATATAGACCGTATTGTAGACTTTGGCAACGGTGCTCATTCCTCTAAAATGGCCTCCATAAGGTGAAGAATGGCATTATCGAAACACACTTTGTTACTCCTCATTTGGAACGCATCATCTTATGACCTAATCTACACATTTTTTAAATAAAAGGGACTCGTCCCAATAATAATGCTTAGCATCATGTTTGAAATGCTTCTTCCCTTGATAAGTAATTCCATTAGGTAAAATACCATAAACTAGAAAATTTACTAAATCAACATACCATGGTGTTGTCGTAGCAACTAACACCTGCTCATCCGAGAATGCGTCATGGATTTCTAGTGAATCATCATCTCCATTGCTTTCTTTCAACCTTGACAAGTGGTCAGCAACTTGGTTTTCTGATCATATCTTGTCCTTAAACTCAATGCTAAATTCTTGCAAAAGTAATGTCCAACGAAATAAACGAGGGTTGACATATTTCTTAGCAAATAAATACTTAATTGCTGAATGGTCAGTACAGACAATTACCTTTGTTCCTATCAAATAAGAAGGAAACTTGTCAAAGGAAAAAACTACTGCTAATAGTTCATTTTCCAATGTGGTTTAATTTAATTGAGCATCATTAAGAGCTTTACTAGCGTAATATATCATGTTGAAAAAGTGTATCTTTTCGTTAACCTAAGATTGCTCTTACTGTAAAATCACTAGCATCATACATGAGTTCAAAAAGTAGTGACCAATCAGGTGGAACGATAATAGGTGTTGTGGCAATTTGTTTCTTCAAAGTTTCAAAGGCCAAGACACATAAGTCATCAAAATCAAAGGCTTTATCCTGTTCAAGAAAATTACACAAGGGTTTAGAAATATTAGAAAAAATATAAATAAACCTTATGTTGGAACCTGCATGTCCGAGAAAACTTTGTATCCCTTTAATGGAGTTGGGTAGCGATAATCTTTCAATTATGTCCGGCTTGCCTCTATCCACTTCGATTTCCTTTGATGCTATTTTATGCCCAATCATGATTCCCTCATCTACCATAAAATGACACTTCTCCCAGTTTAAGACTAGGTCAGATTCTTCACATCGTATTAACACTTTCTCCAAATTATTGAGACAATTGTCAAAACTTTCTCAAAATACTGAAAGATTGTCCATGAATATTTCAAGATAATCTTCCACCATGTTAGAAAAAATTACCATCATGAATCTTTGGATGGTTGTTGGGGCATTACATAATCCAAACGACATCCTCTAAAATGCATATATTTCATACGGGCATGTGAATATGGTCTTTTCCTAATCATCCGAGGCTATGTCAATTTGGTTATAACATGAGTAACTATCAAGAAAATAATAAAAGGGTTTACCTATAGGTCGATCAAGTATTTGGTCAATAAAGGGTAAAGGATAATGATCCTTTTTGGTAGCTTTATTTAACTTATAGTAATCCATATAAACCCTCCAACTAGTAACAATCCTAGTTGGAATAAGTTCATTATTTTCATTATTTACCATGATTATACCTCACGTTTTTTGTACACATTGTACCGGACTTACCCATGTATTGTCGGAAATAGGATATATGATATTGGCGTCAAGTCGCTTGATGATTTCTTTCATCAAAACCTCCCTCTTAACTGGGTTAAGTCTTCTTTGTGCCTCAATTGAAGGTTTTTTGCCATCTTCCAATAAGATTTTGTGCATACACACTGTCGGACTAATTCCATTCAAGTCAAAAATTATACATCTTATTGCCTTTTTGTGTAGCGTCAACATGTCAATCAACTTCTTTTCCTGTTCTAGCTGTAACATAGAAGAAATAATCACAGGAAATTTTTTATCAATTTCCAAATAAGCATATTTTAGTTGCCCTGACAATGGTTTCAATTTTAAATTGGGAGGTTTCTCAATAGAAGGTTTTTCGAGTTTACCTTCCTTACATGAGTATCCAATGGTTTGAAATATTTACCCGGTTGACTTACTATCCAATTTTATTCTTCTTACTCTCCATCATCCGGTTCTTCAATTTCCTCTAGTTTGGTATTAAAATTCTTAAGGAAATTCCCCTCTTCTTGAAAATTGAATTTGGTGGTGCCGTGAATGAATTAGCACTCCTCCGAATCATCAACATGCTTTAAGGTTTGAAAAACATTCAATGTGACTTGTTGGTCATTCACTTTCATCGTGAGTTCTCCTATCTTAACATCAATTAGGGTTTTCCCGTTGCAAATAATGGTCTTCCAAGGATAATAGATGTGAACTCATCTGTATCACAATCCAGAACAATAAAGTCGGCGTGAAAAATAAATTTATCAACTATTACAAGTATATCTTCAATTTTTCCATATGGTTGCACATAGGATCTGTTTGTAAGTTGTAGCATAAATGTCGTAGGTCTTGCCTTCTTGATACTCAATCTTTGGAAAACAAATTTAGGCATAAGGTTTATGCTCGCTCCAAGATCACATAACGCCTTCCGAAAGAAGTGATTACCAATTGCACATGGTATTGTAAAACTACCTAGAACTTTTAGTTTGGGTGGCATTCGATTGTATAACATGGTCATGCATCCCTCTATCACAAAAATTATTTCAAACTCACATAGCCTCGTTCTTTTAGAGACAATGCCCTTAAGAAACTTAGTTTGATTCAAATTTTGCTCGATTGCTTCAACCAACAGCAAGCTAATAAGGGCTTGCTTCAAGATGTCCAAGAATTTCTTGAATTGGTATTTTGTTTCTTCCTTTTCAGCCTTTGAGGAAATGGTGGTAGAATGTTGATCTCCTTATCCTTCTCGTCTGTTTAGAATTTAATCAATGGATTTATTGTGATATCTGGAATTACTGAGGCATGTGGACTTGCCTGGGCAAGCATTGCTACTAGATATATCTTTCTGGTTAGGGGTATGTTCTTGTTGAGTTTTCCTCATGGACTGTGTAGGGGATTTCGTAAGTTTCCATCTACTTTGAGTTGTAATTAACTTACACTATTCATGAACTAATCCCTTCGCGACCTCTGTATCGCTAGGTAAACTGCCTAGTGGTATCATATTCAGAATCTAGGTAAATTGTCCCACATGTGTCTCCAAGGATTTCAGAGTTGCGTCTTGGTTTTGCAGTCTCATCTCAGTCCTGTTAATAAAAGCGTCAGTTCTTTTCGTGAAGTTATTATTCTCGGCCATGTAAGATTCAGTTTTTAACATAAAAGAATGGAGAGAATTTTCCAAAGAACTAGATGGTGTTGATTGTTGTTATTCCAGTGACATATGTTGTTGAGGTAATTGTTACCTTGGCATGTTCTGCTAGAATCCTGATGCAAATGAATTATGATTGTTCTGATTTAGAGCGTTGTCTGGGTTACTCCATAAAAAATTTGGGTGCTTCCTCCAGGATGGAGTATATGCGTTTGACATAGCATTGTTGTTCTGGTTGTAGTTTCCCATATAAAAGCTAGATTTTGGCTTTTGTGGAAACTTAGAAGAATCATGGTTACCATTACACAAAATGAATTTACTACCTTGATCTCATGTGTATTGCTAGGTCGCTGCATATTTTGAACCAAGTTGGTTAAGGAAGCCAGCTGTACGAAATTAATAACTGATGAATCAAGCTTGTTTATCATAGTATTACTTATGATTCATCATCTTCTAGTAGTTGGGAACAAATAATCATTCTTGGAAAGACGGTTTAGGATCCCTATCGCTTCCTCCGATAACTTGTTCAGGAGTATGCCATTTGCCGAAGTGTCTAGCATTATCCTAGTTGGTGTATTTACTGAATTGTAGAACATCATCACTTGTGTCCATATGAGGAATTCGTGCATGGGACATCTTCGTAAAAGCTCCTTGTATCGCTTCTAAGCTTCATACATGCATTCGTCATCTGCTTGTCAAAAAGAAGAAATATCCTTACGAAATTTATCAGTCATAGTTGTATAACTAAATCTAGCAATGAAATCATGACATAAATCCATCCAAGATTCAAAAGATCCAGATGAGATACTATTTAACCACGATTTTGCCTTATCCCTTAGTGAATATGAGAATAATTTTAGCCTTAGGACATCCTCATGGAATCCTTGTTGCTTGAATGAGTTGCAAATTTCTAGGAATGATTTAAGATGTTGTCAGACATCTTCTGTTGTCGATCCCTAAATTGACCAATTGTATTAATCATATTGAACATTAATGGTTTTTATTTCAAATAGGCAGATTTTATTTCAGGCATGACAACACTTGGATTGAGACTATTGAGATTTTCCTAGAAGTAGTATCGAATGGGTCTGTTCCGAACTTGATCAGGTTGCTCAACTAAAGCTCCTCTTCTCGCTTTGGCTATCTGATCACCAATGGCATTTAGATTGTTTGCTAGATCATCCTCCATTGCTACTCATTTTTTGCGTCTTCTTCTATGAAAATGTCGTTCTATTTCGGGTTCAAATGAGGATTCTGGTGATGTTGGTCTCATCCTATTCATACACAGATGCAAAATCAAAAATTGTAAGCCCCCTCAATCCGAGAAAAAAAAATTAAGGTGCAAGAATTAAAAATAAAATTCACTAATGACAATCTTAGGTAACAGTTACAAAAACTTGTTGCATGATTTAAGTGATTCACAATTGTTGCAAGTGTACACTTGGCAAGTTATTGTATAGAATATATATCGTCTCCATAGAGATTGATGTAACTTTGTGTTCTAACTTCTTACACTATAAAAAAGAATAAGTTTGTAATAATAGAAGTTTGAATAATAAGTAAAATAATGAGCAAGTAAATAAAAGTAGATCGTGATCGAATAAGAGAGTAGATCGGGTTATCGGAAAGTACGGTGTGATAGATGTTTGGATAGTCTGGGAAAATTATTGCTGATGTAACTCGATTTCCATGACAACTTGAAATTATTCCATTGTCGTAGCAACTAGGTTTCATCCTTCAAAGCTTAGTGAAGTGTTCTGCAATGTCTTCTTATTATCCTTAACCAGAAGAATTGGTTAATTGTGCATGCGTTGGTGATACATCCTTGAGTTAATCATGGGTGAACAACAACTAATTTTGTGCTCCTTTTAGCTGTTGAAATCTGAATCTTATCCCTAAGATAAATTAACCTTCATTAATGTTTCGTTTGAATGAAGATTATGTTCATTCGTTTCTTGAATCTAAATCCCCGATATTAGATAAATGGATAATTCTCGAGAACATCTCCTAATTCACTCAAAATCAAATTAAGAACCCATAATGAATAAATTTTGAAATTGAACTCAAATCAAAAAACCTAAACAAATCCAAACATTTTCACAACCACAATAACCCAATAGTCCATGCCAATTTAGTTTAGTTAATGGCTGGGTGCCAAATAAATACACAATAAAAATTCCCTAACCTAAATCAAGAAGAAACAATGAAGAAGATGTGCGCTCAGCTTTTCTCTCTAGTCGGTCACCCCTTTTACAGATTGTGATTTCTTTTTTGTTTATAAGAGATTATTAGGTTAAATTGGTTGTTGATGAGGATGAGTTTTAATTGGAATAAAAGAGGTAATAACTCATTTTTTTATCTTTATCCTCAAATCCCTTGCAAATCAAACTTCTTTATATCCTTAATTTATGCGTGAATATCTAGATTTTTAGGACTTATTCCCTTTTTTCATGCTTATCTTGAAGTGAGGTGGATTTATCCAATCATCATTATCATGCACAAAATAAAACACACCAACAACATCTTTTACGCAAAACCAACCAAAATTTAATATCAAACTTAATTGCGAAGGAAACAATGAAATCATGCATGAATGACTAATAATGCAACTAAAATAAGCTCAAATCTATCAATAATTATGGGTAAAAGGATAGAAAATATAGTACTTTTATACACTTAACACCTCTCATTCCATTGTTTTATGTATGCAACATACTTCATCGGCCAATTCTCTTTATGTTTCCCACGCATATCAATTTTGTGTAATTCATCCATGTAAATTATCTACATTGGAATCAGCTAATGGGACCCAAACTGTCACACAATTTATCTGCAACATGGATTTTAACAATGATGAAATGAAGCAATTGTGTTATAACACATCACGTCTCTACTCCTTCAAAATATAATTATAGTAGGCTCCACTAGATATTCGACTCAAAATATGGAATCTAGTTAAACTGTAAACATACTATATTAGTATAAATAAAAATAAATTCTCTTAATTTAAAAGTTATACAAAAAATTAAAATATTTACCACATGTCTACCGGAGGTGTCGATCTCATTACTACATCAATTTTCGTTACATTTGCCAACTTTGTATCAATAATCTTATGTTGTCATCTAAACTACATAATAGAACTAATTTAACAACTACAATATTTATTCAAAATTTCTAAACATGTTAATTAATAATATAATTTTACTTAAACATAAATTTAAGAAATTACCTTATAGCGAGAGGAAACTCAACCAGAACTATTGTAATTGTTGTAAAAAAAATGGAAAGCAGTATCATGCCCCTGATTTTAATAAGACAAGACAACCCTCTACATCCACTCTTTGACTCATTTCCACGATTGTAGCATTGCGAAGCTCACGATATAAAAATGTAAAAATCGTAGAACCTCAACTACATTGACAATACTCACCAAAATTTTTCATTAGCGGAAGATACTGAGTGTGCACCAAATCCTCAGATTTATCTAGTAACACTATCCCTCCAAACAATTGGAGAAGATATGTCCGGGCTACACACATATCCTCTTCCTCAATAGAATGCTCCTCTAGGGATGTCAATAGGTCGTGGTTTTTGGGTAACCCGACCTTACCGAAAAAATATGTGTAACAACAGTCCTTCTGGTGGCCAAGGGTCACATTTCAACTTAAAGTGAATTTTATATTTTTGTAGGCGCCACAAATCTTTTTAGATTAGGTAAGGACAAATACCTAAATTACACCTCTTATCGAATCTACATCTTACCAGAGATTCACTTGGAAGGGTTTGGGAGTTGATTATGTGTGAGGAATGATGAGCACCCCCACATCACCCTTTCGGTACCAACATGGTCACAAGTTGTCTTAATAGAGAAAACTAAAGTTTAGGTCAAAATTTCAAGAAATATCCAAATCACTTACCTTTGAATTTAGTGATTGTAAAATGCAATAAATTAGGATTGTAAAAAAGGAAATAAAAATAAATTATTTAAGTCTAATATGTAAAAGTGAAACAAAAAGATTATGTGTACCAAAATAAATAAATAATAAATAATGCATAACATGAATTAAATGTTAAATAAAATTTTTTAAAGTCATTAATGGAATAAACCAATAACTAAAAGAATGAATATAAATTGAGAGTAAAAAAGATATAAAAAATTAAATACAAAAAATAAAGATACCAAAATTACCAAGAATAATAAAATAAAATAGTAAACATATAAATTAAGAAAATAATAAAAGAAAAATATAATACATATAAAATATGAATAATAAATAATAATGACACAAAAGTGAAAATTACATATGAGATTAAATGTATATAATATAGTAACCGAAAAAAATTATTTACAAATTAATAATATAAAAATATAAATAAATATATATAATAGATAAATAAAAGCTATATCTAAAAACTTAATATAAATAGTATAATAATAATAATAAATATTTACACATTTATAATATTAATATATATATATAATATAAATAATGTAATATATATATATATAGTACGTAAAAGTTATATAATATAAATAATGTAATAATTTATATATATATATATATATAACACAAGGAAAATAATTAAAAATATAAGAATTATAATAATAATAAGTATTACCACGCAAAGTTAAGACTAATAAAAAATCAACTTACAAAATTCGATGTAGCAATTAATCCAAGTAGTTAAGGAGCGAATCCAAAATAAGAACGAAATAAAAGAAAACTTGAACAAAGAAAGAATTCTCTTAATAGAACTTTGGAAAATCTAACACTTTTATTGATCTCCTCCTTTTTTTTCTAAAAAAAAATCCCTCCATCTATTATGAAATAAGAGTGCCTATTTATAGGCTCCCAAAAACCCTAAAAGAAAAAAAAAACATAGCATGTTTTCATTAATGCTATACGTTAATTAAGAAAAGTAATATTAAAATAATGAAAATACCCTAAATTGTCCTAAATAAATAATGGAAAGTATAAAGTTGAATTTAATTATAAATAATCAATAAAATAATTGAAAATTCGTAATAAATGCAATTTCCCTTATTGGGCCTGTATCCATTTTTTTTTGCACGCGCTGTCTTCGCTAAAATGAGTATATCTTGAGTTTATGATGTCTGATTGAGGCGTTTAAAATGTGTTAGAAAGCTAACTAAAATCTGGTTCTATCTCAAGAGACATTGATGTAGGTATAATCTACACTCTTCAATGGAAGTGAGTAGATAGCCTTATTGTGTCCCGTTCTAGGATTGACAAGTACTGATGTCCTTGAGTTATAAGTTTGGGTTGCAATAAATATAAGAAAAAGATATAGGATTAATAAGGGAATAATAAATGGATAAATAAGGATAAGTAATGAAATGAAAGAAATGAATAGAGTTGGCTGCGGAATTATGAAGATGTTGATGGCATTGATGGAAGATGTTGATGGTGTTGATGTTGAAATGGAGATGGTGGTGATGTTGTATCTCAAACACGCCAAAGATGAAACTATGCTAGGAAGCACAATCTCGATCTTCACAAACTTGCTTGAGGGGTGATGAAAGTGTCTTCAACCCACTAGATAGAAATCTAGGAATTTAGGAATTAAGATAAAAGAAATGAGGCCACAAGTATAAGAAATATACTTGCTTAATCGATAAAGTTCACAAAGAACTTTGAAGAGAGATTAAACTCATAAAGGTTTGTTTATAATATGAATGAGATGAGTACAAATGATGGC